CCCCAAAACCCCAAAACCCCAAAACCCCAAAACCCCTTTGGGTGATTAAGAGGTTGAATTTAGATGGGTTATAGGAGGTTACTTCCCTCAGCCTCTTTTGTTTTGGTGATGTAGCTGTCTCTTCAAAGGATTTTGTTTGTTCTGCTGTATAGTAAATGAAATGGATTTTTGGAATTACTATAGCTTTTTGTGGATTTGATAAGCTCATCCACTCTTTTAGCATAAGCATTACTGTATGAGGAGTTATCAGAAGTTCCTGTGTTTAGAACTTTAGAAAATTCCATATCTGTGTTCCTGGTATAAGAATCGCTTCCTATTCCTACTCCTCTGTTTAAACTAACCTGATGGCTTCCTACTATTTTTGGATTTCTTTGAACTTCTATAACGGTAAACTATTATTTTACTTCACAGTTGGGACCCAGAAAAGTTATCCTGACTAGGTTTAGATTGGGATTCATTGTTATTAGAATTCGACATTCTTGACACAAAATTCTCCGCAGTTGTCTGTGGTTTTGAGTTCCCATATTTTGAATCTGCTAAATTTCATAAAGCCCTCAGTCTTACTTTTTAAATGTTTCTGGATCAAAGCAAATGTATCACTTGGGTCGATCTCAGATCCATTCTTACTAGCAGAAGTATCATATCTCTGATTTAATTTTCCTAAATGGTGTTGAATATTCTTTAACTTACGATTATTGGACTTTCTGGGTTCTCTATGGGTCATAAAAGCCCGGATGTCTCTATTAGACCGATCGCCATGATCAATCAGAATAGAGGAGCTATCTGAAAGATTAACCCTAGCTGTAGCTTTCATCTTATTCTTCATACAATTCCAACTGCTTTTTGAGGTCTTAGTGGGTTTAGAGGCAGAATATTGAGATTTCCCAGGTCTCTTTCCATGCCTGCTCTTGTTCGCAGAGTTAAAACAAGTTCTAGGAATAGTCCCTGGCTTAGTCTTCCTCACCCTACTGGTGTTACAACTCTGGTTCTGAGTTTTTGAAATTCCCTAAATAATCAGTAGCTAAACTTACTTTTTGGTTTGCCTTTTTGTTGTACAGGAAAATCTCCTGTCTTTTTATGGAATATAGCTTGGATGAAAGCATCCTGTCTGAAAAATTTAGCTTTTTTGCTTTCTTTTTCTTCTTGGTAGATTTACATATCTTTGATATTGCTTCAAGGTTGGTTGGAAGCGAGTCTAGTTATTATTAGCATATCTCAATATTTCATATTCAAATTTCAAAAGCAAGATATGAAGATTTTGAATTAATGCCACAATATCTCAAAACCAGTAAGAACTTGATCCATAATCTCCAAATACAGTTATTGACTTACTCTTCTCGTCTTGGGAACTTTGTAGATTAGAAGTAAAAGGGTTGCCTGAAGAAGCACTAATAGTCTCTGCTTTGTTAAGACTATTCCCTAACGAATAGAAGGCTGCTGGATAATCCTTGCTATTTCCACAGCTAATTTTCTTCTTATGGGTCCTATTCTTGGTCATCCTCCATGCCTTTCTTAGCTTCTTCTGTTCAATAGCCGGAGAATTCTCCATTGTATAAGCTTTTGTTGTATTTTTGGGAGAGAAGTTTTTCATCTTTCCACCAGATTTTAAAATTTTTGGATCAGGATGACTAATCCTCTTATGCCTTTTCATCTTCTTTTCCTTAATTGTTGACGCTACTTTGGTGCTTTTCTCCGAGGAATTTAGGGTATTCTCTTTTCTCAGTGTGCTTAGAGGCTTTAGAGTACTCTTTAGTTGCTGCTTACTACCAGAAATATTTGCTTTAATAGTATTATCACTAGCAACACCAATATCCACAGATACAAAAGGTGTAGTAATCTTGTGATTTCCAATAGGAATCTGGTCTTTTGATAGTGCATAATTGTACAACTCAATAGACTTTTCAAAGTTGCCTCTCTTGTTCTCAATCGCAGCTAGATAGAATGCTGCTTGAGAAAACTTTGGATTAATATCTAGTGCCTCTTTAAAGCAGTATTCTGCTTCTTTCTCTCGTTCAAGTTTCTCAAGAACTCTTCCTTTGAGGTAAAGATAGTTTTCATCCTTAGGCTTGTTATCCAACAAATTTTGGGCCTTTTTCAAAGCATCATCTAGATTTCCTAATTTGAATAATATATTAGTCTCAGTGCTTCTTCTGGGGCCTTCAGATCTCCCTCTATTCTTACAGTTCCGTTCAGTAAGTGGATTGTTGTAATCAAAATCACTGATGGATTTAATAACAGGATTGGCTGATGCTTCTCTGCTAAATTTGCCTCTACCCCTGACAAAGACTTCTTCTCTCCCTCGAGGTTCTCTGACCAGGTCTCACTTAATGATCCTCGTGACCTTGCTATTTCTGGTTAGGCTATAGATCAGTACTTAAGGCTAACATTTTCCTTATAATTTTTCTCAACTTTCGGTTTCTTTGCAACTGTATATCTGCCAGGTTGAGGATTATTTAACGTCAATGGAAAATCTTGTTCAATTCCATTATTTTACACTATGTCCTCTCGGGCTTTGGTTTTGCTCTTTCAGATAATTAATATTCGGAAATGCTGCCTTAGGCTTTCTTGGTTCTCTATATATTGAGTTTTACCTTAATTTTAGAGAAAATTTCGTGTTGTGGTATGCCAATAAACAGCCTTATTTTCAATTTTTTAAACTTTACTATCCATATGTGAAAATTACTTACTGCGAGTTGTTCAAATGACTGTTAAGAGAAAAGTTGCTCTCTGATATCTCAGTTTCACACTTATTTCCAAACCTCTTGATTATTGATACTAAGCTGTAGTCCTCGTGATTCATTTTCTTTAGGAAAAATATATATCTCTTAATATGACTACAAATAAGGGGTTTTGGGGTTTTGGGGTTTTGGGGTTTTGGGGTTTTGGGG